CTATCTTTACCAGACTTTATTTTGAACACACATAGCGTTTCGTCCTTCCGACAAGGTCCATGTTCCATTGCGTTCCAAGGAATCCATCTCGTTCAACATCGCCCACTAGCACAAAACCCAATCGCATTGCTTCCGCATCTCGGACAGTGACTTCGGCAGATCCTCCGCAGACGCCAGCGCGTTTAAAGCAAAACCAGTTTGTGGTGGCGCTCTTTTGGGATATGGATAGCAATGGGCGAGTACCGTTAAGGGTAGTTTTCTCTTTGAAGGATAATGATTTAGGACGAATGCTTATAGGGCAAGTTCTAGAATTTCGCTGAAAGAAGTGGTTTGCAGCGAACTCTTTTGAAGGAGATTTTTCTGCAGGCGGGGCCAAGGTAGCAGTGAAGTCTCCCGCTTTAATGGTTTCGTCTTAGCCAAGATGAATTTTCAGTGTAAACAAAAGAAGCCGGCGTATTATTGGCTTAAATGGGACGTCGGTAGCAGAAATTTCGGTGGTTCCGCTTTACGCTTAATATAAATAGAAATAGCGAAGCGCAAAGATAACAACGGAAGACGGATGGCGACTGTAAAGGTAGAATTAAAAATAACTAGCCGTGCGGTTACCATAATAATAACGATTCAATGGTTCCATTTGGGACTGTGTCGGGCTTAGGTCAGTTCCTAAGGCCTTCCACATTCTAAAAGACTTAGCTATACCACGTAAGGTTCTTCCAATGGGGGACTCACTAGAGAATATTCAAGACCGTCCAGATATCAATCTCACGCAATCCCAAGCACTTTATCATGAATCTATTACATAACTTCGCAAGCAAATATAAATCTCGACGATTCACTGGATCTCTAGGAATTTCACCCCGCAGAATTTGGTAAACAAATGAAAGTAATTTTCCCATGACCCACAAAAATATTTCGAAGCCAAATTTTGTTTTAAATCTTTTCCAATTTGGTATCAGGAGGTTATAATGTGCGAGGAGGTGTTTAAGTTCCTAATACACGAGGGGACAATCAGAAAGTTCTTTTAAAATTTTGTCCGGCTACCAGGAGAACATAATAGTCGAGGAGGTTTTTTATCACCCACAAAAATATTTCGAGACAAATTTCGTTTTAAATCTTTTCCAATTTGGTATCAGGAGGTTACAATGTGCGAGGAAGTGTTTCAGCTTTTAATACACGAGGGGATAATCAGAAAATTATTGTAAAATTTTGTCTGGCTATCAGGAAAACATAATAGTCGAGGAGGTCTTTTCCCATCACCCACAAAAATATTTCGAAGCCAAATTTCGTTTTAAATCTTTTCCAATTTGGTATCAGGAGGTTATAATGTGCGAGGAAGTGTTTCAGCTCCTAATACACGAGGGGACAATCAGAAAATTCAATTAAAATTTTGTCTGGCTACCAGGAGAACATAATAGTCGAGGAGGTCTTTTTCCATCACCCACAAAAATATTTCGAAGCCAAATTTCGATTTAAATCTTTTCAAATTTGGCATCAGTAGGTTATAATATGCGAGGAGGTGTTTAAGCTCCTAATACACGAGGAGACAATCAGAAAATTCAATTAAAATTTTTTTTGGCCACCAGGAGAACATAATAGTCAAGGAAGTCTTTTCCCATCACCCACAAAAATATTTCGAAGCCAAATTTCGTTTCAAATCTTTTCCAATTTGGTATCGGGAGGTTACAATGTGCAAGGAGGTGTTTCAGCTCCTAATACACGAAGTACCAATCAGAAAATTCTTTTAAAATTTTGTTTGGGTGCCAGGAGAACATAATAGCCGAGGAGGATTTTTTCCATCACCCACAAAAATATTTCGAGCCAAATTTCGTTTTAAATTTTTCCAATTTGGTATCAGGAGGTTATAATGTGCGAGGAAGTGTTTTAGCTCCTAATACACGAGGGGACAATCAGAAAATTCAATTAAAATTTTGTCTGGCTACCAGAAAAACATAATAGTCGAGGAGGTCTATTTCCCATCACCCACAAAAATATTTCGAAGCCAAATTTCGTTTTAAGTCTTTTCCAATCTGGTATCAGGAGGTTATAATGTGCGAGGAGGTGTTTAAGCTCCTAATACACGAGGGGACAATCAGAAAATTATTGTAAAATTTTGCCTGGCTACCAGGAGAACATAATAGTTGAGGAGGTATTTTCCCATCACCCGTAAAAATATTTCGAAGCCAAATTTCGTTTTAAATCTTTTCCAATTTGGTATCAGGAGGTTATAATGTGCGAGGAGGTGTTTAAGCACGAGGGGACAATCAGAAAATTATTGTAAAATTTCGTCTGGCTACCAGGAGAACATAATAGTCGAGGAGGTCTTGTCCCATCACCCACAAATATATTTCGAAGCCAAATTTCGTTTAAAATCTTTTCCAATTTGGTATCAGGTTATAATGTGCGAGGTGGTGTTTAAGCTCCTAATACACGAGGGGACAATAAGAAAATTCTGTTAAAATTTTGTCTGGCTACCAGGAGAACATAATAGTCGAGGAGGTATTTTCCCATCACCCGTAAAAATATTTCGAAGCCAAATTTCGTTTTAAATCTTTTCCAATTTGGTATCAGGAGATTATAATGTGCGAGGAGGTGTTTAAGCACGAGGGGACAATCAGAAAATTATTGTAAAATTTTGTCTGGCTACCAGGAGAACATAATAGTCGAGGAGGTCTTGTCCCATCACCCACAAATATATTTCGAAGCCAAATTTCGTTTAAAATCTTTTCCAACTTGGTATCAGGTTATAATGTGCGAGGTGGTGTTTAAGCTCCTAATACACGAGGGGACAATAAGAAAATTCTGTTAAAATTTTGTCTGACTACCAGGAGAACATAATAGTCGAGGAGGTCTTTTCCCATCACCCCCAAAAATATGTCGAAGCCTAATTTCGTTTTAAATCTTTTCGAATTTGGTATCAGGAGGTTATAATGTGCGAGGAGGTGTTTCAGCTTCTAATACACGAAGTGCCAATCAGAAAATTATTGTAAAGTTTTGTCTGGCAATCAGGAAAACATAATAGTCAAGGAGGTCTTTTCCCATCACGCACAAAAATATTTCGAAGCCAAATTTCGTTTTAAATCATTTCCAATTTGGTATCAGGAGGTTATAATGTGCGAGGAGGTGTTTAAGCTCCTAATACACGAGGGGACAATCAGAAAATTCAATTAAAATTTTGTCTGGCTACCAGGAGAGCATAATAATCGAGGAGGTCTTTTTCCATCTCCCACAATAATATTTCGAAGCCAAATTTCGTTTTAAATCTTTTCCAATTTGGTATCAGGAGGTTATAATGTGCGAGGAGGTGTTTCAGCTTCTAATACACGAAGTGCTAATCAGAAAATTATTGTAAAATTTTGTCTGGCAATCAGAAAAACATAATAGTCGCGGAGGTCTTTTCCCATCACCCACAAAAATATTTCGAAGCCAAATTTCGTTTTAAATCTTTTCCAATTTGGTATCGGGAGGTTATAATATGCGAGGAGGTGTTTCAGCTCCTAATACACGAAGTGCCAATCAGAAAATTATTGTAAAATTTTGTCTGGCTATCAGGAAAACATAATAGTCGAGGAGGTATTTTCCCATCACCCGTAAAAATATTTCTAAGACAAATTTCGTTTTGAATCTTTCCCAATTTGGTATCAGGAGGTTATAATGTGCGAGGAGGTGTTTAAGCTCCTAATACACGAGGGAACAATCAGAAAATTCAATTAAAATTTTGTCTGGCTACCAGGAGAACGTAATAATCGAAGAGGTCCTTTCCCATCATCCACAAAAATATTTCGAAGCCAAATTTCGTTTTAAATCTTTTCCAATTTGGTATCAGGAGGTTATAATGTGCGAGGAGGTGTTTAAGCTCCACACGAGGGGACAATCAGAAAATTATTGTAAAATTTTGTCTGGCTACCAGGAGAACATAATAGTAGAGGAGGTCTTTTCCCATTACCCACAAAAATATTTCGAAGCCACATTTCGTTTTAAATCTTTTCCAATTTGGTATCAGGAGGTTATAATGTGCGAGGAGGTGTTTAAGCTCCTAATACAAGAGGGGACAATCAGAAAATTCTTTTTAAATTTTGTCTGGCTACCAGGAGAACATAATAGTCGAGGACGTATTTTTGTAGTACCTTACATATAGCGAATGGAAACTGGATCTCTTGAAATAGTAGTGCTGGTCCTTTTCCTTGAGTATATTTACAAGACGGCATCCGCACCATCTACGCCTGTTAATCACTCTACTACTGTTATAAAGAAAAACGAAAAATCACTACTCTTTGCAGATATCCTAAACGAGCGAGAAATAAAGTCGTACAAGAAGAATTAATCGGAGCCGTGAACTCATTTCCTCCTGGACCTGCAGGTATCTTAGAAATCCCCTTCGGCTCGGCCGATCAGGTGTAGGTAGATTTCTTTAACCGCCCCACCCACTAAAACAGCAGGAAATTAATAAATGGCGAAGAATGTGATCGCCTATTTCATTTTGGACGAGTTCCATTCTGCGCAATTGTCAACGCTGTTTGCAGTTTGTCCAGAAGCTGCAATTGCCAAGAACGCTGATCTTGCCCTAGGGTAATTATCAATCATACTAGGAAGAAGCTTCGGTTAATTGAAATTTCAATATGTATATTTGACCATTTAGCAAAATCTTGAGTGTTGATTATCGACATTGAATAAGTATAATTACTTATTCAATGTTATCGACCAGATTGATTGGTTAGTCTCTATGGGAGGAGAGATTGATTGGAATCAGATCTCCTGTGTGCGATAAATATTCGTTCGTTTTTTAGGGAGGTTTGTTTCGCTTTCCTTGGTCCACTTGGTAGCCCGAGTTCGTGGCGTTTCAGATTCGTTTGTAGGACGTCCTCAAGTAAACCTTAAGAGATTGAATGTCTAACAAGATTGGGAAATGAAATTTACCAAATACGCGATTACGCGTTATCTAAAGTGTGTGGTAAACATTTTTAACAAGACTGTTAGTTATGACCTTTAACCAAATCTGAGATATGGCCAACCTTTCATACGACAAGCCCTCCATATATAGGTGTAAGATCTTGCGAGGTTGTAACAGTGTTTGTGGAAACCAGTACAAGGATCAGAATGAAACTGTTTGTTTCTTGTGTTGCGTTCTGTATGATACAGTGGGTGTCCTCAGAGAACTCTCCGCTCTTTCAACAATTTGCTACTGGTAGTGTTCAATTTACAGCAGATGTCTACAAGGTAAGTCAACGAGTAATGAACTATCGTAACCAAATCTTCACAGCAATTGAAAGAAATTAACAATGGGGACAATTTTCTGGTTTGCCCACTCTCCGCCCTCATCATTTTAGGCTTGACCCAAACCGCCGCCCGAGGACTTACCGCTCAACAACTCTCGAATGGGTTACATCTCCCTGAAGATCGGAAAACCGTCGAGCAAACCTTCCAACAGCTCCTGCCGACTCTAAAAGGGAACGACAAGTATACCCTTACCAGCGCGAACAAAATTTACGTCAAGAACGGCTACAAGATCAAAGAAGAGTACAAGAACCTCGCTCAGAATTCCTTCGGGGCCGAAATTCAAAACATAAACTTTGAGGAAAGGACAGCGGCGGCCGCCGAAATAAATGGCTGGGTGGCCTCCAAAAGCGAAAACAAAATACGCGACCTAATCGATCCTTTAAAATTGAGTAAAAGCAGCCTCCTAGTGCTAATCAACGCGCTCTACTTTAAGGGTAGTTGGGTTTATCCATTCTACGAAGGAGCCACCCGGAAGCAGAATTTCTTTACCAAATCCGACAACCACATCGAAATTGACATGATGGATAACACTGAATATTTCAAGTACCACTCGTCGTCGAATTTAGACGCGCAGTTTTTGGAAATACCTTACAAAGGCGGCGACGTTTCGATGGTCGTAGTACTACCTAACCAAGCAGAAGGGCTGTCCGCTTTGGAAAACAGCATCGAAGCCGTTTTGAATACCAAACTGGACTGGAACGTCGAGGTTCATCTTCAGTTACCTAAATTCAAACGAGAGACAAAGGTGGAATTGACCAAGATCCTTCAAAATGTAAGTCCTCCTCAGCCACCTCCTCCAATCACCTCTCCCATTTTATAGCTAGGGATAACGGACGCGTTCGAAGATTGGGCCGACTTCAGCGGATTCGCTGAACCCGGTCAGCAGTCCATCAAAATCAGCGACGTCGTACAGAAGTCAGTTATCGAGGTAGACGAAAAGGGTACCGTTGCAGCCGCAGCAACCGCTGGTAAGTAGATTCCTTAGAAAGTAATGTCAAATTGATGATTGAGTTTTGCAGTTCTAACCATGGACACCATGTCCTTTATAGAAAAGCCTCCTCCGAAGGAGTTCATTGCTGATCATCCGTTTATTTACTTCATCAAGTCGCCTGCTGGTGTTATGTTTATCGGTCGCTATGTTAAATAATGAGTATGTGATTATAAATTGTAATAAACAACTCGAGATTATACAATAGGTACTTATTTGTACCGGGTGACCCAATAAGACCCTTCTAAAAATGACCACCAGAAGGCTCAACTGCCATCTTAAATTTTAAAATTGCATTTTCTTTCAATTTGGCATAATAAACTAAAACAAATTTTTCACATTTTTAAAGAGAACCAGTTTATCTATCATTTTCGTAAAAAAAACTCAGTTATTTCAAAAACAAAGATGGTGTGGGGCGTTCAATTGTTTTTGCAGTAACCTACTTTAACTTCTTAACGGTTTTACCGATTTGAACAAGTTTGGTATCGTTGAAAAGAGCATTCCTTGGACAATAAGAATCAACCAAAATGTAATTAATTGAGTAGAATCCTTCCCCGCCAGGGGGCTAGCTTTGACAACATGACCCAAAATTCTAAAAAAATAAAAAAAATCAAATGGAATGGAATGAAAAAGCATTCAAATAACATCCAAAGAGGCCAGTGAAAACCGTTTTTCAAAATCTCGTTCCTAACCTCAAATATTGGGAAAATGAGATGAATTGATCCTTGAAGGCCAAGGATCAAGCGGTAAATTTCCTAAAGCTTCTAAACATTTAAGTACAAAATGAATAAGATGGTAAATATTAAAATAAATAATTTTTAAGCTCCTAATAATACACGAGGGGACAATCAGAAAATTCTTTTGAAATTTTGTCTGGCTACCAGGAGAACATAATAGTCGAGGAGGTCTTTTCTCATCACCCACAAAAATATTTCGAAGCCAAATTTCGTTTTAAATCTTTTCCAATTTGGTATCAGGAGGTTATAATGTGCGAGGAGGTGTTTCAGCTCCTAATACACGAGGGGACAATCAGAAAATTCTTTTAAAATTTTGTCTGGCTACCAGGAGAACATAATAGTCGAGGAGGTCTTTTCCCATTACCCACAAAAATATTTCGAGCCAAATTTCGTTTTAAATCTTTTCCAATTTGGTATCAGGAGGTTATAATGCGCGAGGAGTTGTTTAAGCTCCTAATACACGAGGGAACAATCAGAAAATTCAATTAAAATTTTGTCTGGCTACCAGGAGAACGTAATAATCGAAGAGGTCCTTTCCCATCACCCACAAAAATATTTCGAAGCCAACTTTCGTTTTAAATCATTTCCAATTTAGTATCAGGAGGTTATAATGTGCGAGGAGGTGTTTAAGCTCCTAATACACGAAGGGACAATCAGAATTTTTTTTTTTAATTTTGTCTGGCTACCAGGAGAATATAATAGTCGAGGAGGTCTTTTCCCATCACCCACAAAAATATTTCAAAGCCAAATTTCGTTTTAAATCTTTTCCAATTTGGTATCAGGAGGTTATAATGTGCGAGGCGGTGTTTAAGCTCCTAATACACGAGGGGACAATCAGAAAATTCTTTTAAATTTTGTCTTGCTACTAGGAGAACATAATAGTCGAGGAGGTCTTTTCCCATCACCCACAAAAATATTTCGAAGCCAACTTTCGTTTTAAATCTTTTCCAATTTAGTATCAGGAGGTTATAATGTGCGAGGAGGTGTTTCAGCTCCTAATACTCGAGGAGACAATCAGAAAATTCTTTTAAAATTTTGTCTGGCTACCAGGAGCACATAATAGTCGAGGAGGTCTTTTCCCATCACCCACAAAAATATTTCGAAGCCAAATTTCGTTTTAAATCTTTTCCAATTTGGTATCAGGAGGTTATAATTTGCGAGGATGTGTTTCAGTTCCTAATAACCGACGTGCCAATCAGAAATTTATTGTAAAATTTTGTCTGGCTACCAGGAGCACATAATAGTCGAGGAGGTCTTTTCCCGTCACCCACAAAGATATTTTGAAGCCAAATTTCGTTTTAAATCTTTTCCAATTTGGTATCAGGAGGTTAGACTGTGCGAGGAGGTGTTTCAGCTCCTAATACACGAAGTGCCAATCAGAAATTTATTGTAAAATTTTGTCAGGCTACCAGGAGCACATAATAATTGAGGAGGTCTTTTCCCATCACCCACAAAAATATTTCGAGACCAAATTTCGTTTTAAGTCTTTTCCAATTTGGTATCAGGAGATTATAATGTGCCAGGAGGTGTTTAAGCTCCTAATACACGAGGGGACAATCAGAAAATTCTTTTAAAATTTTGTCTGGCTACCAGGAGAACATAATAGTCGAGGAGGTCTTTTCCCATCACCCACAAAAATATTTCGAAGCCAAATTTCGTTTTAAATCTTTTCCAATTTGGTATCAGGAGATTATAATGTGCGAGGAGGTGTTTCAGCCCCTAATACACGAGGGGACAGTCAGAAAATTCTTTTAAAATTTTGTCTGGCTACCAGGAGAACATAATAGTCGAGGTCTTTTCCCATCACCCACAAAAATATTTCAAAGCCAAATTTCGTTTTAAATCTTTTCCAATTTAGTATCAGGAGATTATAATGTGCGAGGAGGTGTTTAAGCTCCTAATACACGAGGAGACAATCAGAAAATTCTTTTAAAATTTTGTCTGGCTACCAGGAGAACATAATAGTCGAGGAGGTCTTTTCCCATCACCCACAAAAATATTTCGAAGCCAACTTTCGTTTTAAATCTTTTCCAATTTAGTATCAGGAGGTTATAATGTGCGAGGAGGTGTTTCAGCTCCTAATACTCGAGGAGACAATCAGAAAATTCTTTTAAAATTTTGTCTGGCTACCAGGAGAACATAATAGTCGAGGAGGTCTTCTCCCATCACTCACAAAAATATTTCTAATCCAAATTTCGTTTTAAATTTTTTCAATTTGCTGTCAGGAGGTTATAATGTGCGAGGCGGTGTTTAAGCTCCTAATACACGAGGGGATAATCAGAACATTCTTTTAAAATTTTGTCTGACTACCAGGAGAACATAATAGTCTAGGAGGTCTTTTCCCATCACCCACAAAAGTATTTCGAAGCCAAATTTCGTTTTAAATCTTTTCCAATTTGGTATCAGGAGGTTATAATGCGCGAGAAGGTGTTTCAGTCCCTGATACACGAGGGGACAATAAAAAAATTCAATTAAAATCTTGTCTGGCTACCAGGAGAACATAATAGTCGAGGAGGTCTTTTCCCATCACCCACAAAAACATTTCGAAACCAAATTTCGTTTTAAATCTTTTCCAATTTGGTATCAGGAGGTTATAATGTGCGAGGAGATGTTTCAGCTCCTAATACACGAAGTGCCAATAAGAAAATTATTGTAAAATTTTGTCTGCCTACCAGGAGAACATAATAGCCGAGGAGGTCTTTTCCCGTCACCTACAAAAATATTTCGAAGCCAAATTTCGTTTTAAATCTTTTCCAATTTGGTATCAGGAGGTTATAATGTGCGAGGAGGTGTTTAAGCTTCTAATACACGAAGGGACAATCAGAATTTTTTTTTTAATTTTGTCTGGCTACCAGGAGAATATAATAGTCGAGGAGGTCTTTTCCCATTACCCACAAAAATATTTCGAAGCCAAATTTCGTTTTAAATCTTTTCCAATTTGGTATCAGGAGGTTATAATGTGCGAGGAGGTGTTTAAGCTCCTAATACACCAATCAAAAATTTTGTCTGGCTACCAGGAGAACATAATAGTCGAGGAGGTCTTTTCCCATCACCCACAAAAATATTTCGAAAATTTCGTTTTAAATCTTTTCCAATTTGGTATCAGGAGGTTATAATGTGCGAGGAGGTGTTTCTGCCCCTGATACACGAGGGGACAATCAGAAAATTCTTTTAAAATTTTGTCTGGCTACCAGGAGAACATAATAGTCGAGGAGGTCTTTTCCCATCACCCACAAAAATATTTCGAAGCCAACTTTCGTTTTAAATCTTTTCCAATTTAGTATCAGGAGGTTATAATGTGCGAGGAGGTGTTTCAGCTCCTAATACACGAAGTGCCAATCAGAAATTTATTGTAAAATTTTGTCTGGCTACCAGGAGCACATAATAGTCGGGGAGGTCTTTTACCGTCACCCACAAAAATATTTCGAGACCAAATTTCGTTTTAAGTCTTTTCCAATTTGGTATCAGGAGATTATAATGTGCCAGGAGGTGTTTAAGCTCCTAATACACGAGGGGACAATCAGAAAATTCTTTTAAAATTTTGTCTGGCTACCAGGAGAACATAATAGTCGAGGAGGTCTTTTCCCATCACCCACAAAAATATTTCGAAGCCAAATTTCGTTTTAAATCTTTTCCAATTTGGTATCAGGAGGTTATAATGTGTGAGGAGGTGTTTCAGCTCCTAATACTCGATGTACTAATCAGAAATTTATTGTAAAATTTTGTCTGGCTACCAGGAGAACATAATAGTCGAGGAGGTCTTTTCCCATCACCCACAAAAATATTTCGAAGCCAAATTTCGTTTTAAATTTTTTCCAATTTGCTATCAGGAGGTTGTAATGTGCGAGGAGGTGTTTAAGTTATTATGCGAAATGCAATTTTAAAATTTAAGATGGCAGTTACACCCTCTGGTGGTCATTTACTGATTTACACAATAATTTTTTACCCCTCAGTCATACGACGAACGGTTCCCGAGATATAGCCGAGGAACAGTCTTATTGGGCCACCCGGTACATTACTTCGTCACCTTACCCGGTGATAGGGTAAGCGCGTTTATGAATCAAGGCGATGAAAGTGTCAGTGGGGTTTGCTTCAGGTGACAAACGATGGACGCTTTTACCGCCACACCCATCGACGAGGACGCTGTACTGACTATGGAGGGAAAGATTTGGCTCACTCATCGGACGATTTTTTTTGAGAATTAGTCAAACCGATTCACGAACCACATAATCGCTGTTGCTGACGTAGCGGGGTACAATGTTACTTCCTAGCTCATCAGCAAACTATCACGAGCAGTCGAACTACCACCAACTCCTGATGAGTAAAAGACAGAAGGCAAATAAGCTGTTCCCAATACGGAAATTGAATCGAAAATTATCCCTGATCACAACCTACGTATAAGAAAATTTACATTGGGTTGGATGTACCGGACCCCGCACTTCTGTCTTCTTCTATATAAATCT